AATAAAACAAATTAGAATAAAACTAACATAAAATTATTGAAATGCACCCACTATATAAAATATATTAAAAAAATAAAATATACATAAATATCTAAAATTGTGACCTCAATTAATTTTTGCTTCATTTAAAATCAATTTACCGAACGTTTAATTTTTCACAATAAAACGAGTTTTTATTAAAACTGTTCTATACTTGTCAGTAAAATTAACCATCTTGGAATTAAAGGTCTAATTAAAAAAATCATTAGATCAACCGAATTTTCATTATAATTATTTCCTTTTACCTTATTTAAAGTTGGTTTTATAAGTTTTAAAGATCTTTAAACTGTTGGAATAACATTCTAGTATAGTCCAAAAACAAAAACATTGAAAATAAATATTTATTTTATTAAAGTTAATAAAATTTTTTTTCAGAATTTCTGGGTTAATTTTTGTTCATTAACCTTTTCAGAAAACAGAAAACAATTTCCAAAAACAAAAATGTTGAATATAAAATGTAAAATCCTACGTAGTTTTAAATTAACAATTTTTTATTCTATCCAAAAATTTACTCTCAATACATTTCATTAGTATTTCTCTAACAGTATATAAAGTCTATACAACTCTTAATATCACATTAAATGCTATACTTATATGTAGGAGTTGAATTTGATCCAAAATTCATGTAACATTTAAAAGTGATTGACCACACATTATGCAAAATAGTTTGAAAATACAAAAAAAATGTCATAAATCATTGTTTCTGTATAGTTGTAACAGACAAAATGTTATAGTTGTACAAACTGCAAAATATTTAATCAAAAAAAAAAATTATTAAATGATTATTTTCCATTTTTCAATGCAAAACAAATTGGATACAATAAAATTGTTAAATTGCATATTAATCGACCTAAATATGAGATTTATTTAAATACTTAATGGTTGTTAATTATGAATTATTTAATAGAAATAGATACAATATTCGTTTTATTAATAAAATATGCGTTTATTTGAATTAATACATAATAATTTGAAATTACAAGTTTTTTCATTTGGAAATAAAATATTATCAATTCATACACATTTGATTTTAATTTAAATTTATAATAGCTTAAAATTATAATAACTTAATATTTCTATATTAAAAATAATAATTTGACACATTTCAGAATTTTATACAATGAAATTATTTTGAAGAAGAACACCTAAGAAATGAGATGATTATACATTGTAGTTAATTTACTATATTTTCTCTTATATATTCCAAATACTTGAATACAATACAATGGAAAATAGTTTATATACAAGCTATTTAATAAATAATTAGCTAATAAAAACAAATATTTGGTCTAATTTTCAAAATTTCTTCCGATTATCGTTTGAATTGTTTTATAAAAATTTATTTTCCATGAAAATTTGCAAAATATCTTTTACTGTACCAAAATTCAGTTATATTTAAATAAAAGCAAAATAATCTGGGCTTTATTAAATTTAAGAAGAAATTTTGTAAAATTTAAAATGACACATTTATTTGAACTATGTGACAGCACTCATATTGTGACATATTACAATGGTCTATATTTATATTGCCATTTGAAATACTATAATAGCGAACAATACATTTTAATGATTATACGAATATGCTTCTAAAATAATGTAAGTAGTGCAATATGTATAATATGCAGGGTTTCCCCTAACTGATGTTAAAGTTCTCGAGAGGAAGCAAATTCCTTGCCGTTTTTTTAAAAAATAAGTTCATGTGGTTTTGGAGCCGGAGAGGGAATCGGGGTTATTCCCGGACATTTAGGGATAATTTGGAGGATTAAAGATAATAAGGTAGAAAAAAATCTGTCTAACAAATATCCATAAAAGCTGTTCAGTCAGTAAACTTGCATAACGATAATGTCAACATAAAACTTGATTTAAAAATTACATTGCAGTATTAATTAAATTTGTTTTAATCATGAATATGGGCATTTGTTCCCGATAGTTTCATTAAATTTTCATTACATTATACCAATATCCATAAATCGAAAAAATTGCTTACTATTCTATATAACAATCAATTGAATAATATCTGTTAATCCCAAAAGCTTTAAGACATGAACCGAACCACCTTGTTTCCAAAAATTCTATATGGTTGCAAATCAATTAAATATTGCATATTAACTTAAATAAATTATTTTCCAATTTCATATAAGCTAAAACCGAAACTGGTTTAAATTTTTACTTTTATTTTTTATTATCATCATTTCTTTTTAATAAAACAATGAATTAACAAAAATTATTAAAGTGAAATAATTTTTCAAATTCCACCCACATTCACTGCGTGCTTTTTAAAATATTGTCAATAATTTTAACCGGATAAATGCGTTATAAATCAATTTCGAAAAGCAACTCATCTCATCTTAAAATGAGTTACATATACCTACATATCTTACCATACATTTAATATAGTTTAATCTTTTTATATATGTATGTATATATACAAAAAGAACTAAGTATGCATATTACTTAGTACTTATAAATTTATTGTTTTGGTAAATTAAAAAATTTTAAACTGGGATTCTATTTTTATGATCTGACGGCTATAATTTTTAAATTCTACTTTGTATTTTAATAATTTAATGGCTTTCGCGCCTAATAGAATTCTTCTGAAAAATACACGTACATATGTGTATATGTAAATATGTTTTAAATTTATATTAAAATCATGTTTTTCGAGATAAAGTTTGTGTTCTATATTATTTTGTATGAATTCAGCCAGCAATCAGTTTGAGATAACAAGCAATATTTTCTATGTATAATAATGTAAATACCTATACATATATATATAGGAAGATAGCTTATATATATAGATGGGTTAGAAAATGAAAAGCTCATTAAAAATATTAACTCTCATTTTTTCTCCGGTTAATAATTTTATAAGTTAACATATATTCTTATACATGGTTCTCACGAATTTATTGATAATAATATGCGATTGGTGAGAAAATGAGAATACAAAAGAAAATACAATAATAAAAATTACTGTTTTTGGCTATTTAATTGCTTTCCGGTTTTTGTTTTTTCATCAATAATAATTGTTGTTAATAATAAAAGTAAAAATAATCATTAAGTAACGTCACTGATGTAACAGGTAAATTTTGCGGTTGCCAATTAGTTCGCTCGCTACCAAAAAAAAAACAACATCAGAGGAAATTTTTTTCATTTGTTTCAGCATTTTTTATTTTTGATTTTTAATTAAGAAGCGCAAACGATATTGAATACTCTTGCTGCTCATGGATGATCGCGACTTATTTTTTTTACATACACTAATATTTTTTCTTTAATTTTCATTCTTTTTTCGGTTGATTATATATTCGTCATAACTTTCAAGAATGAAACATGAAAATTTAAAAAAAGTCAACCAATACTTTTTCTTCCATATTAAAAATTAAATTCTATTTTATGAAAAATACTTTCAATATTAACTCTTATTTTTTTCCATTATACAAAAAAATGCTATTTATAAATCTGATGTCTCGACTGTTTGAATATCCCGCTCAATGATCATCATCGTCGTTGTCGTCGTCGTGAGCAATTTATAAATAAAATGAAAAAAAAGTAGAAATTTTTTTAAAAAACGTTTTTGATTTTTTTTTTCTTTTCTTTCAATTTCTTTCTTAACAATCTTTTGTTAATGTTCGAGAATCAGAAAACTAAAAAAAAACGCATGGTTTTTGCTTAAGCAGAATAAATACAGCCACATACTTACATTTAAAAGAAAAAAATTTGAAACGCATGAGTTCTTATTTTTTTTTTGTTTTGAAAATTTTAGTTCAATTTATCGAAAATAAAAAATTTCGAAATTACTTTGATAAACGAAATTTTCTAATTATGAAAAGTTCAAATAATTAAATTCAAAGAGCTAAATTTATTAAGCTAACATTAACATTGATGGTTATTCAAATATCTTCAATGAATATAATTTAAAATTTATTAAAAACTATGCAGCATTCAATTGGTACAATAATTGTATAACATTACAGATTTTCAACTCATGATTTTATTATATGTTTATGAAAATGCGAATTGTGGTATACTGCGAAAATTACGGTCCTAAACCCTACTTAGTAAAAAAAAAAAAAAGCAAATTTTGCCTAGAAGTATGCAATTTATTTATTAATTATTCGCGACCATCGTTGAATTATACATAATATGAATGTTATAATGTTAATTAATTAAATATTATATAGCAATTTACAAGATCGTCACATGATTTCATACCTTACATAAACGAGAATAAAAATTACACTAATTTTTAGGAGGGGCTGTATAAAAAACAATCACTCAAAAATCACATTAATATTAAAAAGATGTCACATTAAAAAAAACTTCGGACCATAATTATTTAGCTCTAATAGATTTTTGTAATAGCTAACAGAGTAAATCAATATTGAAAGGAAACGCATATTTCTTTCTTAAATTCTTAAACAAAACAAGTTAAAATACTATTTTTAGGTAAAATATTTTTCGAAATAATGAGCCCTATAACTTTTTTTTATTTATTCATAACGTTATAACATCATCATAATAATATCTATATATGAAATAAAAGCAAAATATCACAATACTGTCGTCGTCGTAATACAAGTGTATAAGAATATTTGCTAATTTTTTTTTTGCAGATCGCTAAGATACGGACGAGCTTAATGTTTTATATTTAACAAAATATAAAAAAAATTCAAAATGACTCTCTCATTTTATATATCTCAGAATATAAAAATATTTAGGTATATTAAAAATAAATAAAACTAAACGGTAATCAAAATCAACAACAGTTCACTATAAACATAAAATAAAAAATAATATTTTTTATGATCAATCGGAGAATCGAGTAGATTAAAGAGAATACATGAGAAAAAAAGTCTCTCAAAAATCAAAATACAATAAGAAAAGAAAAATTTAATTTATTTTTTTTTTTACCCAAACAAGTATTTTAAAATTTTCTTGATTTCAGTATCATACTGTGAATACAATCGGTGAGATATCCCTCTACTAAGAAAGTAAAGATAGTTCTCGAATTTCTTGTGTGCGGTGTAAAGTCGGTTTGCTTGAAAATATTATTGTACTTTAAAACTAAAAATTATAATAAAAAAAAAAAGAATAAATAATTTTTTTTTGCTTTTGTGGAAAAATACATAAATATATACATGTAAATGTATATATTTATTTTATAAATACATATATACAGATTATATACAAAATATAATTTTCAAAAATAAAATATTATTTTTATATTTTTGCTATAAGTTATTTCATGCAAGTGCTTTCTTATAATATTCTATATGAAAAACAAAGAAATATTTTAAAATTTTACTAAATATTATTTTATAAAAAATCTATATATATATATATATATACATACATATATAAAAAGTTATAATTTTCCATTTAAATGTGTAAAACAAGACAAAAATAAAAAAAAATAAAAAAAAAAGGAAATTGCCAGAATTTAGTTTTTTGTCCTCTTCATCATAAATTATTATAATTATATTTTAATATTTTAATATAATTATAACACACTTATGAATAATTATAATTAAATCGATAATTATTTGTTAATAAATAAAAATAGTTAAATTTTAAATAATTTTCGGATATAATTTTTATAAAAAAAAAAGTTATTTTTCTCTTAAGAACCAAAAAAAAAAAATAAAATTTAAAATTGAATATCGAAAATTAAATAATTTTATTAATATAAAAGAAAAAATAAAATGAAACCGTCTGTGATATCGAATGGTAACGGAAGCGGAAACCCGCAAACACAACAACAACATCCTTCTGCAGCTGGTATTAATGCTGGTGTAAATTCTGGTACTAATACAATACCTCATCAACAGCAGGATACAAGTGGATATCCCCATAATGTTAGGGGACAATTTCCATCAGGCTTTTCACAGGTAAAATATTCATTAAACATCTATTTTATAATGCAATATATATTAGATTTAATGACATATGTATTAGAAATTCAGCCATATATTCAGTATTGCTGAAAAAAAAATAAAGAGAATTCAAAATAAAATATATAAGAGAGAATTAAAATTGAAATGACTGCATACTTACTTAAAAAAAATATAAAAGAAAAACCATGCTCAAAAAAAAAAAAAAATAAATCATAAAATTTATCATTATTTCACGTATTTTCACTTTTTCCAGAACATTTTGACAGGTGTCAAAGTAATTTTTACATGCATTAATATAAGTATGTGTATGTATATATGTATTCACGTTATATTTGTGAGAATTTTAAAATATGCTACTGAAATTTTATACTCATTCACTTTATTTCAAAAAATTCGAACATTTTAATGAAAGAGAAAATTTTGATTCTTTTGTATTCGTATATACTTTAATACAAACTAAGTCAAGTGCATGTAGGTATAAGAGAAAAAAAAATAAGTCATATTATTTAAAAGTAGTACAATCACTATAATATACTTTCATTCTATGTATATTAATAGATGTGATATTAGATTTTTAGTGTTGAAAAAAAATAATTCACATTGAAAATAAAAAAATTAAATTAGGTACAATTATGCATGCACGTACATTGGTACATTTGTAGAAGTTACTTGGATATTAATTTGTTACCGGCAAATTATTATTTATTAAAGAAATTTTCGGGTTTATGCATAATTTTAAATTTGAACTAAAGACATGAATCAGTGCAATAAAAATACTTTCCTTTTAATTCATTTTACTTTTAATTCATCATTTTCATTATCTATGTGAATACAGTATCTTATGAATGTTGAGAATAATTTTAAAAAAGAACCTAACAAAGTTTTTTATCAAGAAGTTTCGAAACTTTTCCTAACTCATGATACAACATCATTAGAATTTTTTAATGAAATTTGTAATAAATTTTTGAGTAGATTGAAATTTTTTTTATTAAAAATACTTAATAAATATTTCTATTTTAAATCAAAATTTTTTTGAAAATTAAAAGTTGAAATTTAAAAAATTATTTTTGCATAAAATATTTTCTTTTCTTCGACTAATTAGAAAATATTGTACTTCATCATCATTTTATTAATATTTTATAATTTTTATTCTGTTTTTAGAACCATTTTTGGGGAAAATATTTAAATATTAGTGTAAAATTCCAGTAAATTTAAAAATAATATTAACAATATAATTTTTGTAAAGTTTGTGAGGAAAGTTATTTGAAAAGACATATTATTTTTAAGTTTTCTTAAAAACGAGGAAATAAATTACAAATCAGTATCAATATATATTAGATCTACTCAAGCTTTCTACATAAATATTATAAAAAAAATTTTGGTTAATATTTTTCTTCTTTACAAGATAATCCCCAAATTCCAAAATTCCAAAACAAAATATGTACATTTAGATAGTCCAAATTGTAAGCTTATATTGTCCAAAACAATTTATTGTATAACGGTAAATAAGTGATTTATAATTCTCTGAAAATTTTAGCTATCGTAATTACTAAACATTATAATATTTAGATTTCAATTATTGCGCTCATTTTTACCAATCAGATTGTATACAATATAATTGTTTTCCTTCTTTATAATTGAGCCAATAACACAATATAATTTAATTCTAATTACAATTACTATACTCTACATTACCATAACTAGAGTAAAACTACTTTAATCTTAACTAGACATTTTACGGTTGCTCAATATAATAAAATAGTAATCAGAATATAAAATGAAATTATGATAACAAAATAGCAACATACATACATTATAAAATCATTTTTATAAAGCAATAATTAATGTTATTAAACGAAATATTGCTGCGAGAAAAAAAAAAATATGATAAAAAAAATTTTTTGGAGACTTACAAGAAAAACAACAAAATAATCAAATCTAATCTTTTGTTATAAAATTGAAATTTTATGTACATTTTTTATGCCCTGTAAAGTTTTTAGAGGCGTAAAATTTACTTTAGACTTAAGATAAAAAAGAATTTTTTTTTTTTTGATTAATTAATTTCAACAATGAAAAAGATGAAAACGAAAAATAATCTGACTAATTGAATTTTGACATTATTTGTTCAATAATTATAATTTTGATTTTGAAAATCAAAGATGGAATTAAAGTTTATTCAATTCACTTTTTGACACGGAGAGGAGCACATGGCAAACTATTAACAAGTATTTGTTATTTTAGATATACTATGACAAATTGAGTGATTTTACTCGGATTATTATTAGAATATGTGCAGAATTAGGAAAAGCAATAGTGGAAAAATATTTGTTTCGCTCAACTACAATTTACACTTAACATTAATTTAGGAAACAAAGAAAATTCTTGTCTTTTTTTTGTTTTCATATATCTTTCTTGTATACGGCATTTCACATTAGCGTCTTTGTTCTTTAACTAGAACTTATTCGCTATAAATATAAATTTTAAAAGCAAAATATTTAAGAAACGCAGATGAAATTGAAAAAAAAAACGCCATAATTTATTCATATAATATTACAGTGTCGTACGATTTAAACATCCTGACTAAAAATATATATGATTTTTAGTCAAGATAATGTAATGTAAATTATGTGGACAAATTCTCATGCAGCTCGAACTTCCTATTACTCGAACCTTCTAATACTTGAACTTAATTTTATTGACTTGCTGTTAACATTGAGAACTTTTAGAATTAAAATTGATTAAGAGTGAGAGCTTTATAACTCTAAAAAGAGAATTTAAAATTACAAGGTTCCGCAAAGGTTTTTTGATTTGCATTCAAAAATTTTGTCATATTCGCATAATTAAAAAAATATTACAAAGTCATAAGATATTCAGGCTCATCTTAAATCACAGATAATTAAATTATTTTTTATTTATTTTAATTTTAAGTAACTTTTAATTCTTGTTCTGTATAATCTATACATTTATATAAGAAATTAAATAATTTTTGGAAATATATAATTAAAATAATTAGTAAACAATCAAAAAATGATTTAATATATTGCGTGTACCAAAATTATATATCAGTTTTAAAAAAATAATCTAAAAGTTAAAATGCTACATAATTAAATTTTGTGATTAAATTATTTAAGAACAAAACAAAGCCATACTTTTTTAATAATCGCAAGCAAAAAAAATCTGATGTGGTCAGCATATAACCGACCACAATATGTATTTTCTAGCTTATTGAAAATGTTACAGAAAGGGTTATTTTTAAGGAAGTATAGGCTTTTAGTTAACTCACTTAGAAAAATGAAAATTTGGCCATTAGTAGAGTTTCGCTTTGTGCCATCGGGATTCACCGAAAAGTTTTCTAGTTAGTTTCGATAACACCCACAATTAAATAAAACATAAAATTGGTTCAGTAAAAAAAGACCAGTCTCTGAGGCCTGTAATATCCCAAAAGTTGATCAATCTGTGATAAGCTAAAATAAACTCACATATAAAATTTCATCAAAATTGAATCAGTCAAATCTTGTTAAAAATGGTTTAGTTACACTTCCCTACTATGGACAAGTGCTTTTGCATCGAAAATTCGATATGCGAAAATTTGTGCCATCACATAACCTCTCTAATTGTATGCAATGGGGTTGGTGATAATAAATCGTATAAAAATCTTTAAAGAACAAAAAATTATGAAGAAAGCGTCATATTATGACGTAATAGAAAACACAACTTTTATTTTGTGCGCCTGTTATTTTATTTTGAAATTTTATACTGTAAAAATATCATAATATTGTTATAGAGCATCAGGTGGGTAGGTAGGTATAATATCGAAAAGCTTATCTTTTGCATAACTCTATATACATTTTGGCAATTTATTGCTAAATAACATAAATTTCTGAACCGGTTTCAGAAATTTTTTTATACTTAAAATATTCTAATTATAATCTTGTATCAGTTTAGTAAAAGAGTTTTTCTTTTCATTTGCTTATAAAATTATATAATAAATTTTATATGTGTTTAATGACCGTATATTTAATTATGATTGATTTTAAAATTATTTGACTGTTTAAATTTTTATTAACCAATTTTTTTTTAACGTTTTATCTCACAAATTTCTTAATTTACACAAAATTTACAAATTATCTTTGGTTTGGACATAGGATTGCCAAACACTTGTGCTTTTATTATTTTGTTATAACTTAAAGGGGAGACGGAAAACATAAAGACTTTGTTGTATGCGTAATTGTCATTCGTTATGTATTTTGTTAATTCTAAAAGACCCTTTCCCTTGCGAGCCCTACTCTTTCTATTGCCGGTTTATACTTATGAGTGTTATGTGTGCCAAGCAAATTAAATTAATACGCCCCTACGGTTACACTCCATCTTTTGCTTTTGTATTTTAATTTACTTCTTAAATTATTGAATTGAATACGTTTCAATTTGAAATCCTTTTTAACAAATTAATGTTCAGCTTTTCGTATAATAGTTTTTAAAATTGTTTATTTTCTAAAATGAAAATTCAAAACGAAGTTCAAGTACTTATTAGTTTGCAATAATGTAATAGAATCTTAAAAACGTAAGAAACATAACCACGAATTCAACACATTTATGTATTTTTTTTGTGCCTTCTGATTCTTATTACAAATCATATCGTATCGCTCCATAAATTGAGTTTTCTATGTATCTTAGACAATGTGTGTTAAGTGCTATGAAAAAAATTAGATTTATAACAAAAATATATTTCAAAATCTTATTGTTGCTATTTTACTTTCCTTAAATTTCTATGTCAATCATACGTGCCTACATGAATATCATACAGTAACGCATTCTCATTAAAAAAAATTTAAATGAGTCATAACATAATTTATAACATTTTCAACGACATATCCGCTAGGTTTTTTATGTACATATGTACATACGAGTACGTTGTATTTAAATCACTTTTTTAAATGCTAAAGAAATATAGATTAACCAACCTTTTTCTCTCGAAAATCACGTTCCACAGAAGA